CTCCTCCTCCTCTCCTCCTCCTCCTCCTCCTCCTCCTCCTCCTCCTCCTCTCCTCCTCCTCCTCCTCCTCCTCCTCCTCCTCCTCCCCCTCCTCCTCCTCCGCCTCCTCCTCTTCCTCCTCCTTCTCCTCCTCCTTCTCCTTTCGAGGTCTCGCCGAGGTGCAGGCAGAATACGAGCTGCCGGGCCTTAGGGCGCACCACGGCTGGGGGAAGCGATGAAGTCAGGCCGGAGGCGGTTGGTTAGCTGGAGCCCATGATCCTGGTGCCCGAGCCGAGGGGAGGGAGGGGGGAGCAAGAAGCGGCGTTCGTCCACGATTCAGTGGCCCAGCACTGTTCTGCTGTTCCATCGGGCTATGTCATGTCCTGCGTGGTGTGGCTGCGTTGCAGCCGATGCGGTAGTCCGGACTCTGCCAACATCATTATCCTCACCACCATCGTCGTCACCGCGACTAGGATATGCATCATGAGAGTACATTATCGTCATCACCACCATCATCATCATCATCATCATCATCATCATCATCATCATCATCATCATCATCATCATCATCATCATCATCATCATCAGCATCTTCATCTTCATCTTCATCTTCATCTTCATCTTCATCTTCATCATTATCATCATCATCCCCATCGACATCATATTTATTATTTCCCTGATCGACATTCCCCCAGCGCTCATCTTAGCAGAATCATGCCGTCATGCTCACGGCTCGTCACCGTCGGCGATATTCATTGTCGTCGCGCCCCCGATGCCATTGAAACATTTTCTAGATATTTTGGCTCAAGCAGGCAAGCACTAGTTCTTGGACTAGGGAAGCGTGCCAGTTGGCAGGCCCAATTCGCGTTGGCGCCCTATTGCGCCTTGCGGAATTCTCAAATGTATGCTAATGCGATGTCGCTGCCTCCGCCCAGGGACACATTCCGAAGCATGACAACGATACCTCCCAGTACCAGCATCCATTACCACCACAGCGCTGCAGTTGAACCCCAGGTGGCATGGCAAACAGCCCAGCTCGAGCAAATGCATCCACCTCCAGCCTACGCAATGGCAGCGCATCCAAGCGAGTGCGTTTTGCATGCGCCACAAGTGCCTCTGCCACAGCACACGCTGTCCTTGTCGAGGGGCTCTCACGGGCCCGCGCTGCAGCCATGGACGGCCGTGGCAGGTCCGGACTTTCACGGCATGCGCAGGGACGCCGTGCCGTGGGCAGTCACAGTCCCATCGTCTTTGTACCGCCCCGTTCACGCAGACCTGCCCGCTGTCGTCACGACCGCCGCCGAGCTGGAGCGCTCGTCGCGGCCGTGGTCTGTGGAGGCCCCGCCGGAGCCCCCCCCCAGCTTGCTGGTGGGGTTCCCGAACCCCGACAGCATCAAGATCCAGGAGGAGGGCCACGAGCGGAGGCTCGACGACCAGTACCAGTCGGATCTGCAGCGCCTGGAGAAGGCGCACCAGGCTCAGCTACAGCTGCTCCGCGAGCGCGTGCGCCACCAGGAGCAGGCCGCGCATGCTGCCATCGAGAAGCAGGCCCTCGAGGCGGAGCAGATGGTCAGAGCGCGCTCTTACGAGCACAAGTGCCGGCTGGAGCAGGAGGCCGCCCGCAGGAGGTCGCTCATCGACAGGCGTGCCGACGCCATGGCAGTGGAGTGCACCACTCGCAAGGCGCAGGACGACCTGAATGCCAAAATATCGAGCCGCCTGCGGCAAACCCCGCTACAGTACCAGCGCAGCAACGCAAGAGAAAGGAGGCCGAGCTTTATGCCCGCTTCAGTTGATCGCCCTGTTTGAACTGGCGCGGGTCTTGAACGCCCCTCCTTGTTTTCAGCGTTGTTTGTTTATGTTTTCCTCATTATTAGTCGCCCTCCTGAGGCTTCTTGGGGGCTTTTTGGGGGCCCCTAGAAGGCTTTTCGGGGCATCTTTGGGTGGTCTTGGGGGGCGGTGGTTGGCGGTCTCGGAGCTGTGCAGAAGCTGAAACAGAGCACCCAGATGCCAAACCTGGTGCGCCCTGGGGGAGGAGGCTGGAAAACTACATAACCCCTGATTCAATCCGCAGACGGCATCTATACACCACCACCGTGCCTGACGAGGGCCGTCCTGGGCCCCACGATGGTATATAGACCCTCTTGGCCTCGGCCGGGTTCAGAAATGCACACGACGCAAGGGCCCAGGATGGCCTGGCCAGATATGGTACTGGTATATAGATGCCATCTGCGAATTCTAGCACGCCCCGACGTGCTGCTGGCATGGTAGCGGATACGACTTGCAGAGGAGACAGTTCAATCTCGCCCACGGCTTGGCTGACGACGGTCCCTCAGGTCCAGGGCCCCACGCCGCCGTCGGCCAGTTTGCTGAAGGGGGCTACTTGCAGGCTGTGGAGCAGAGCGTTGCCGCCGGAGGTCGGTCCTTCTCCCGGGAGCCCTCCACAGCGCAGCGAGTCGCGGCCGGCCTGCACGACGTGCACCGCGTTGAGCAGCCTCCCTCGGCGGAGCGGGGGTCGCACTTGCTCCCCCCAACGCAGCTCGTGCCGCCAGAGATGGCGGCCGAGTGGGAACAGCAGCAGCTGGAGGAGTTGCGATACCAGGAGTGGCAGCCCGAGGCGCAGCGCCCTCTTAGTGAGGCGCCAGCAGAGCCTGACCGGCGCACGGGGAAGAAGGATCGAAAGAAGGGAAAGGGGAGCAAAACGGATCGCAGTAGTTGCCGTCGCCATCTCAATCAGGGGATGAAGGACGAGAAGACGAGCAGCGATAGCAACATCATGATTGCAAGTACGAGGTGCCACTGGTAGTAGTAGCGGTGGCGGTAGTAGGCATGGGTGTAGTACCCGCAGTGGCGGTAGTAGTCGTGCTAGTAGATGTCGTAGTAGTAGTAGTAGTAGTAGTAGTAGTAGTAGTAGTAGTAGTTGTTGTTGTAGTCGTAGTAGTAGAAGTAGTAGAAGTAGTCGTCGTCGTCGTAGTAGTAGTAGATGTAGTGGTAGATGTAGTAGTAGTAGTAGTAGTAGTAGTTGTTGTCGTCGTATTCGCAGATCTAGTAGTAGATGTAGTTCTAGTAGTCGTAGTAGAAGTAGTAGTAGTAGTAGTAGTAGTAGTAGTAGTAGTAGTAGTAGTAGTAGTAGTAGTAGTAGTAGTAGTCGTAGTAGTAGTAGTAGTAGTAGTAGTAGTCGTAGTAGTAGTAGTAGTCGTAGTATAGTCAGTAGTAGTAGTAGTAGTAGTAGTAGTAGTAGTGGTAGCAGCAGCAGCAGTAGTAGTAGTAGTAGTAGTAGTCGTAGTAGTAGTAGTAGTAGTAGTAGTAGTAGTAGTAGTAGTAGTAGTAGTAGTAGTAGTAGTAGTAGT